AGAAAGAAGAAGATGGAAAGAGAAGAGAAGGGAAGAGGGAAGAGGGAAGAGAAGAGAAGAGAAGAGAAGAGAAGAGAAGAGAAGAGAAGAGAAGAGAAGAGAAGAGAAGAGAAGAGAAGAGAAGAGAAGAGAGAAGATGGAAAGGGAAGAGGGAAGAGAAGAGAAGAAAAAGAAGAAGATGGAAAGAGAAGAGAAGGGAAGAGGGAAGAGAAGAGAAGAGAAGAGAAGAGAAGAGAGAAGATGGAAATGGAAGGGAAGGGAAGGGAAGGGAAGGGAAGAGAAGAGAAGAGAAGAGAAGAGAAGAGAAGAGAAGAGAAGAGAAGAGAAGAGAAGAGAAGAGAAGAAGAGGGATTCTTTATTGGCCAATTCTAAATTTGTGTCCGTTGCCAAAGCTCACCGTGTACATACAAACAGCAAAATGATAGGTCATCGGTGATAAATCATAGCTACAATCATTAATCGTTAACTTGCAAACAACCATTGATAAACCATAAGGAACCAATAGGAGAAGATAGCAGGAAAAACAAAATGAGGAAAAAATGAGAAACGAGAGTGCTGTGGATTCTACGTGTTCAGCAAAGTGATGGCACGGGGTGGGGGGGGGGACTATCTTTACGTCTGGTTGTTTTGGCATGCCAATAAGGTGATCATTAAAAAGAGAGAGAACAGGTATTTCAACAGCCTGCAAGCCCAATAGCTCAAAGAAAAAACACAACAGCCATTCCCGAGCATCACCTGGTGTGACATTTCTCCCTTCAACCATCGCAGAGGGGGAAAGCCTTAGTTCTACCACCTCCAGGCAACTTAATCATCATTACAGCCGGCGATGTTACATGTAATCTGTGAGAATGAGAGGAATGTCAGGTTTGTCCTGGCCACGTCCCCCTGGCTGATGGGTGACCCAACGAGACAACAAGACAATCTCCGTTGCAAAACACACTGTAAATCAGGCTGATAAGGCATCTAAGAGCTTCAGTAAAAATAACTTAAGATCTCCAGGATACTTGTTCTTCTTTTAAGTTGCCACCGGACCCCTTGTACTTTTATCCACGACAAATTAACGTTGCGAGCCCTGTGGCAATAGTAGATCTCCTAGCCTACATCTTAAAAGCCAGATCTGTCTTTTATTGATCTTCAAGAAGTAGCCCGGGGGATTTTTCCAGCTGAAACGTGGAATAAAAATGTCCTAGGAAGGTATTATAAGAAACGGTGGTGTAGATCACATTTCACGACACACACACACACTCCCAAAAATAGGACCGGTCCTTCACGCACATCCAAAAGAGATTTATTTACATATACTAAATTCGAATCAAGATGTATTGGGACGATCGAAGATCAATCGGATTGCACGACTAATTACGCCGAAAGCTACAAATTATTTCAGGAACTGAACCTGCTCAGAATTGACAACACAACTTTCAAGCGTCAACTGATTGAGGTAAAGCAATGGGCATTTCCAGACACAGATATTTGCCACTCCTGCAAAGACTCATATTTATTTATTTCTGAGAAAGATTTTTATATCCCCCTGTCTGAAGTTTCTGGGCAGCACATAACCCGAGTTGATACACAGAAGACATTGGGCTTCCAGAAGTGAATTTATTGCCACTAAGACAGGCATGCTTTAGGTGAATTTCTGCGTCTATCTCATAACTTTGTATCTGCAGATTCCAAAATTCAACAACTCCAATTCCGTCTGAACGTTGAGAACATGTTCCTCAAAGAACGCCCACCTCAAAGACCAAAGCAGAGAGAAGACCATCGCCGAGAAGACTAAAATACACCTGGACCAGCGTTGGCTTTGCTTACCTCAAATATGTTGGATGTCTCGTTAGGATACGGATGGGAGATGATTTCCGATTGGTCGTTGTACCACTTAAGCCCTCCCAGGAAACCGCTGTCATCCAGATCGTTGACATCTAATTCGGAGAGATCAAGTTCCGGAAGGTCTGGGCAGAGAGGCTGGTCTTCCCCAACTAAAGCAGCACACTAAGAGGAAAAAAAGGAGAAAAACAAGAGAAATTGGATAAAATGGAGGAGAAGAAGGGGAAGGGGGAGGAGGAGAAGGAGAAAGAGAAAGAGAAGGAGAAGAAGAAGAGGAGGAGGAGGAGGAGGAGGAGGAGGAGGAGGAGGAGGAGGAGGA